ATGAAAAACGGACTGGTACCTGATGCTCATTTCACGTTAAACGGAACGAATATCTCCGAATGCTCTAGCTATGTGTATCTATGTCGGGAAGTCAACATGATGAACGAACTAGCTCCAGAGCTGTGCAGAAGGAAACGCGCCGCGTGGGGAGCATTTGAGAATATCGAGGGAGTAGGATGAGGACAAAGAACATCCGGTTCTGCGCTCACCTTTTCGACACTGCTGTCCTTCCTGCTTTGACGTACGCCTCGGAGTCTTGGACTCTAGAAAGCAGGATGAGCATGCTGCCAGCGTTACTCAAAGCGCTTTGGGAAGGACGATGTTCGGAATGGCCCTACACACGCAAGTGCAGATGGGAACCCGGATTTCCGAGCTCCGTCAACGAACGAATATCAGGGATGCCGTTGATTAAGCCAAGAAGGCGAAGATCAGGTGGGCTGGACACGTTATGCGATATAGGGATGACCGTTGGAGCAGGGCGGTTACTGACTGGATCCCTTGGGACATCAAATCAACTCCAGGACGGCCGCCAACGAAATGGTCAGACTTCTTCATGAAAGCTCTGCACGAAAGGAATGTTGACCCTCGTGTCCCTGAAGCGAGGACGACTCATTGGACCACTCTGGCTCGTGACAGGGAAGAATGAAGACGTTACTGGCGCCCACTCGAGGAAATCAACGATATCTCCGTAAAGAGAAAGACCCATAAATAACGGCATCTGATAATGGTGTTTTCACTGCTCGAAACAAGCACCGCCCAAGCTTTGTTCACCTAACATTGAATTATTATTAGGACATCAAGGCTTCCGATTAAAGGCATAAGCACCGACTTACACTGAATACCATTTGCACTGCTCCTTTAGCCATATGTCAAACTTCGCGAATGGGAAAATATTATTTGTTCCAAAAGAGTCGAGTATTAGCCGATTTCTACAACTTTGCCGAAGAAGTAGGGAAGCCTGGCGCTGGCCGGGCAAACCGACTTGTAATATATAAACAAGTCGGAAAAGGTTCCAGTTCATACAGAATCAATTCTGGTTTCCGTTGCAGTTTTCACCATGATGTTGCAGCACGCTCATAATAACTA